CTGAGCTGCTGCTTCTTGTTCACTATGAGGATCACAAGCACATTTCTGTCTGAAATCTCAACAGGCTGCACCTGATCAGCTTAGTCAGACCTTTTTGCAATGAAAAACTGGATCATGTATAGTAAGGCTCCTTAAAGTTGTTCATATTGTGTTCCTTTACATTAAAGAGATGGGTGGTGTCCTGCTCAGATTGTTCCAAAGCAAATTCAAATACACTTGATTCTGAAAACATTTACATCCCAACTGACATCAGCTCTATGCATCACAGACGTGTGGCACAACCTCAATCTACCCACTATTATCTCCAATAATGTGCAGACTTGGTTGTTTCATGGCGTCCGTTCTGTTGTAGAGATGTTAAAAAGGCTCCATTCCATCTCAAACAATGAGCAAATTTCTGCTCAGCCATCTCTGATTTGCTTGAAACTTTTAAAATATTATCTACGGATACTTAAAATGCAACCTGTGAAGATTTAGCTCAATACATCAAATACTTTCCCAGATCTTTTTTTTTTTTAAGAAACTTTTTTTTGGTGCATTGAAATATGAGGTTTTGTTTGACTGACGATATCTGAAGAGCAATTGAAGGCACACGCCGGAAAGTTTCCCTGTTATTTCTCATCCGGACATTAATTTATAATCTACAATATTGTTCCATATTATTGTGACGTGTAGCTCATCATCAGTTTTTTGTTAATGTGTGGTCAGAACTGGGACTTTTCATGATGATTGCACTTTTTTTATTCCCATATTTCAACTCACCCTTAATAAGGAACTATTTGGTTTTCTTGTCTAATATTGCAGATTCTGAATCAATGAAACTATGAGAAATAACCGTGACTAATTCAGGCTTTTAGCTTGAATAGTTTCTGAGATATTGTTGATCAAACACAGCTGCAAATGGGTCTAAGGGCAGTTAATTTTTTTTTTTTAACTAAATTTTATCATGTAAAGTATTTGATATGTCAAACTAAAATTTCAGACATCTTATACATAGCCATAGTTTATGATTAAAAAAAATCAGAGGCCAATCAGAGATGGTTGAGCACAAATTGCTTTAAAAAATAGATGGATTGATCCAGTGAATGTATTGACCTTAATACAGGATTACCTGTTGTGTTTGTATTTTAGTTCAGGGTTAAATCCTCTGGGTGGTCTGAGACCCTTAAACATTTTTGCTCCGGCCCTGTAGTGACCCAAGATGCCAGTCACGATCCAAAAACAAACTGTACCTGCAAAGTCACAAAACATATTTACAAGTTCTTGAAAAAAGTTCACTTTATTCTCACTTTTTTTCTCTCCCCCTCTCCTGCACACCTTCTCTGCCAAACTAAACGGCGTCCCCACGACCTCTCACCTGCTCCGTGAATAATCCCTGTTAGTGGCTGTAAACCGGCGCTGGCAGGTCTCCACTTACAGAAACCAAACAGATGTCCTCTGCACGCCGCTGCCAGCAGGTTACATCGGAGAGAAACGCAGAAAAAGGCGAGTGAAGGAGAGAGATGTTCGTGCGTAAAGGTTAAGGCCAAAAGCTACGGGATGACATCACCAATCGGTCTTTTACGCACCATGTTGCCCAGAAGGCGGCGGCATCGGGCCGGACAAACCACCCCGGACCTGACAAGAAAAAAAAGAAAATAATAACGCTACGTCACACTCTCGAGCTTGGAGGAGATGGCAATGGTATCGCGAGAGCGGCGACCGCAGCGCTGGATGGCGCTGGTGGGGGCTGGATGCGCCCACGGCTCGCCCTCTCTCCCCGTTAAATCACACGGTAGGGCACGCGATCGGACGGAGACTGGCGGCGACAGCGGCTGTGGTGAGTTACGAAAAAAAGGAAAAAACAACAACAAACAAACCTGCACGCTACGCACTGCACGGGCTCCACCGCGGCGGCTGGAGAGACCGGGAGGACGCGCATGTGACCGCACCGGACAGAGTAGGTGTGTGTTTCTTTAGCCTTTTTACGCGCGTGTGTTTATGTGTGTGTGTGCGCGTGTCAAAGGGGGGGCTCGGCCAGATGTGATCCCCTCCAGATGTGACAGTCTCTGAGGATGGCTGTCTTTTTTTTTCTCCCTTTTCCATCATCATGACTCTCATCAGCAGCAGCAGCAGCAGCAGGGGAAGGATCGCTGCTCCTCTGTCAGCTTTATTATTTCATCAGCTGGTCTTTAAAGCTCCTTTTACGCAGCTGCTTTACGTCCACTTAGACATCCAACAGTGCGTTGGTCCCCACACACTCACAGGTGTATCCGTTCAGGTGCGTGCCACTACGGCTCTCTTCCTGTCCGGTGCTGCGTGCATGCCTCTTCTTCTTGATTTCCGCCAGTGTTTGGTAGACTGTGCGGACTTGTTGATGGATGGACCGAGAGACCGCAGCCTTTTTACCGAGGCGGATTCACGCTCGGCTGTCATCGCTCCCGGGGGGCCTCCAGTGATTTAATGTTGCGGTTTCGATCCGCGTGATTGATGACTTTGGCCCGCATCACCGGCAGCCTACAGCACAGTCACATTATAGAGACGGTGACACAGCCTTCTGCTGCGCACAACACGTGAATGCTGCCCATCCACCCCCCACCCCCCCCAATCTTCATTTCTCCCACAGTCGACATCATCAAGCAGGGGACGGATTGGACCGTACAGTGATCCTAACCTTTACCCTTAACCCCAAAGGCTTCACCCCTTCACCCCATAGTTAACCTTGCAGGCTTTTATCTCCACATTGGAGATAAAAGGTTGCTGGCTGAGCCGGATGAAGCACACCTTCACCTGAGCTCAAATGTCGCCTTGACATTTAAGTTCTCATCAATCTTACTTTTATTTTTGGAGACTCTGGAAGGCAGCACTTGTAGCCCGCTGTGGTTAATACAAGCACGTGCATGAATGTGTGGGCTGGTTTCATGTGGAAAAAACACCAGTTTTTGCTTCTTTATTTGGCAGGAAGTGTTCTAATGTAGAGCGGTGTTTACAGGTAGCGCTGGGATGTTTCACTTTGCTAAGTTTGTCCTCACAGCCTCAGTCGAGTCGCTGCCAGAGAGGCCCCACTGGCGTTATTTTAAATACTCAAACCCATCAGAGCGATTTATGGGATGTCGCGTGGCGCTACGGTGGCAACTCGACACGTGACACGAAGATCCTCAGAGCCGAGGATGAAGATGTCAGGGTTTAACTTTTGGTCTTGGCTCCGTTGTAGGTTGTTTTTCTCGGGCGTTGTTTCTGCTGGAATCCAAACGCTCATGCGTTGGAACAGTTTTGTCTGTTAAACTCAGTAATTGGTTGAAATCCTCCCAGTGTTCCTCTCCAGACGTGTGATCCCGGCTTGTGTCCCCCCCCTCCTCCTCCAGGCTTTTACATATTGTTGACATTTCGGTGGAAGTGTTTCTGCCTCAGTGGCTGCTGTTGGGTCCACATGTGCGGGATTATGGGAGGGTTGAGGTATAAGGAAGGGCAGATTAAACGGAGGATGAAGACGGAGGAGAGGAAAGAAAAGGCACGCTCACGCTGCCCGCCTCCTGTGACCTTTACCATCCGTCGGAGTGCGCTTTCTTTCCTTCTTTTTCCCGTAACTGATCCTCTTTGACATGTAGTTGTTTATTCAATCTAATGTCCCATTTATTCCTCTCCTGTCTCTCTGTTCCTCCCTCCCTGTTCCTTTCTTTCTTTCCTATTTCCAACATCCCTGTTCTATTTATTTTTCCCCCTAATCTCTTTGCCTCTCCTCACTCATTTTCTTGAGTCTTTCCTCTCTTTACTTTCTTTTCCTCTTCTCTGATCTCCTGTTCTTTTTCCTTTCCTTTCCTTTCCTTTCCTTTCCTTTCCTTTCCTTCCCTTTCCTTTCTTTTCTTGTCTATGTCATTCCTTTCCTTTCCTTTCCTTTCTTGTCTTTCTTTTCCTTCCCTTCCCTTCCCTTCCCTTTCTTTTCTTGTCTATTTCATTCCTTTCCTTTCTTATCTTTCCTTTCCTTTCTTGTTTCTTTCTTTCTTTTCCTTTTCTTTCTTGTCTTTCCTTTCCTTTCTTGTCTCTTTCTTTCCTTTCTTGTCTTTCCTTTCCTTTTCTTTCCTTTCCTTTCTTTTCTTGTCTTTTTCATTCCTTTCCTTTCTTATCTTTCCGTTCTTATCTTTCCTTTCCTTTTCTTTTCTTTCTTTCTTTTCCTGTCTTCCTCTTTTGTCGTGTCCTTCCCCACATCCCCTTCCCTTCTCTCCCCCTTCTCTTATTCCTTTCCTCCTCTCGTGTCTCTCCATCACCCCCTAAAACCCTGTTTCTTTTCCTCCTCTCCCTCTCTCTCTCTCTCTCTACTCTGACCCAAACTGTAAAAACCTCACATGATTCCCAGCATGCATCGTAAATAAGGATGGTTATGTAATAGCCTCAATATTAAGCAAATATTCGCCCCTCTTTATATTTTCTACTAATAGGATCGGCTGCGCACATGTGCCACGGTTATAATGGGTTGCATCTAGGTTATGGCGCGCGCGCACGTTTGCGAGCGTGCACGCAATTACACGCGTCTTCTCACATGTAGTATACTTTAATGTTACAGAGTCTGAGCGGGGAAATGACCTTGAAGCTTGCCCAAAATAAAAAAAATAAAAAAGACCGGGCAATGTGCTCACACATGCGGCTGCACGTGTGGCTACTGTATGTTCACACACATTTATAGGTTCTCCATAGATCGTAAGTGGAAAAGATGGGGGGGAGAAAGAGACGCACAGAGGGGAGGATGAACTCTGGGCTCTCCCTATTGTCAACCAGGGCTATTTGAAGTTACACATAACCCAGTTAGAGGGAAACCACTGTGTGTATGTGAGCACATGCATGTGAAGTTTTTTCGGAAACTGAAAGCAAAGAGACAGAGATGAATGGGGCAAGAAGTGGAGAGAGTGAATGGAAAATAGAGGTCAGTGGAAGAAAGTGAGAGACGGAGTGAAGTGAATGGGGAGGGAGAGAAGAAAGTGCAGCCAAAAGGAGAAAGAAAACCGAGCGCACGGTTTGGGAAAGATCAAGTCTTCTTTTCTTTCACGGGGTTATATAAATATACTTCTCGCCTTTATGTTTCCACGAATGGGAGGGAGACAGCGTGAGAGACAGGCCATTGTCCTCGGGGACAGTATCAGATCTTTGTTCGGCTTGCTTGACACTGGCGTCACTGTCACCGACTAAACCCGCAGCACTTACACAGAAAGTGACAGTAAATTCAAATTCCAAAACGGTCTCGTTAGCAGCGTTTTACTTCCATCCAACGCTGAGGTCAGTTTTTGAATTGCGGAATGCATTCCTCACAGCTGGCGGGAATAAACAGGATCATAAAATGGGAAACAAATGGGTGAATTAGACTAATGAGAAGTGGGCAAGATGCTGATCCTCTGAATTGCTTGTTGATGAAGGTCTGAGGATGAAAACAAAGCAGCGTGTGACCTTTGGGTGAGGCGGCTGTTTAGAGGTTAGACAAACTCCACAGAGCCAGAAGGACGTATTTCCGTGCACCTCGCTGCGTGGCTCGGACTTGGCACCTCGGTTAAGATTAAGGGATATTTTTAATGATACAGCATAAGCTTGAAGGTTCATTTTGGTCTGTAGATACAGCAGCTGGCAGAACAGTCTCACCATAAGGCCCATTTAGTAGCTGATTGTTCTGGAGTTTTCAGACATATCGCTCAATCTCACTCTGCAGATGGAGCTTTTCCAGTTCTCATGGAATTGCAAATGGACAGATTTCCAGGCACTGTCAAAGCATTTTTAAAGACTTCTAATTTTTAGTCGCTTTAGAACTTGGTACCTCCATCTGAGGGAGCAGTCGGGTGTCAAAATGCCCAACACCCATGTTGGGCCACGTACTGTGTGGCTGTGTTTTTTGGCCCGTGTCCACATCGTGTGACTCGCAAGTTTGTTCGGTGTTGTACATCAAAAGAGTCACAGAGTCCGAACAAACGTAGGTGGTGGTGGTGGCGGACTCTTATTCAGGAGACTGGGCTTCCGTTCTTGTGTCGGACAATTGCTTTGTTGTGTTTTCAGTTTAGCTTTTGTTTGTGCCACCAGATGACTTTGTTAAGTAGTCGTGGTTTCAGTTTGGGACGTGCGATACAGCTAAAAGATTCATCACATTTGAGCTGATATCCATAATTATTGCTTGTTTGAATTTAACTTTTGAATTTAACCAAGCTACACAAGTAATAATGTTAAAGTTGTGCTGAAGTTCAGGTTCTGACTGGCTGGTGTGGATAACCAGACCAGGACTTGGAGTGAACCCCTACGTCAAGTCCGCCAGCTTTCGGTACAGGTGTAGGTGGACACGGGCCTGGATGTGCTTTTAAACCGCAAAGCCCATGTTACTGGGGCAACCACTGGTTCCCATCATCCACAGACTCCACCAGGGCAGGTCTGCGGGTCTGGTCGAACGTTATGAGAAGCCCAGATGGCAGCGGACGAGTAATGGAAGTAATGGAGGGCGACGGGCCTCCATTATCAAGATATGAATGGGCTGCGTACGAACCAGGAAGGGATTAACGCTCATGTAATCAAACTTTGTGTTATGTGCTTTCATTGGAAATTGCATCGAACACAATTGTAAAAATTCGATTGAACACTTTTCCCTTTTGTGCACTGACCGGGCCTATTGCTGTTGTTTTATTGTCCATTCCTAGTTTTGGTTAAAACACATCTGTGCAAGTGTTAAACACAAAGCTCCAGCTGTTTTCTACACAGCTAAGGTGAAGCATAGCTGCTGCAAAATGTAAATATGTCACAATTTTACAGCCTTTTTTTGTGAAATAACACATTACAACACACGCTCACTGATGGACCTTGTTTGATTGTTGTCAGCCGACAAAAATATCTTTATTAAAGTCTTATTCCGGCGACTCTGTGACCGCAGTTTGAAAAACACTCTTCCCCATTCCAACACGACAATACCACCGTTCACTAAGTGAGGTCCATAAACAAATAG